TTGCTTCCCATGTGCTCCGCCAGCCTCCCCACGGTTTGGGCAGCCACCGTCCCTCTGCAGATGACATGCATGCTTGTGACGGAAGAACACCTTTCGTGCAACAGGCAGAGTTGCATGTGTGGACATCATGATCATGCCTTTCGTTTTTATATTCATTTTCCTTTCTTCTTCACCTGCGATGCACCGCCACTTGAGGGGCATACAGTAAAGCCAACAGTGCTAACGTGTACATTGTGGTCACTTTCTTTTTTCCTTTTTTTTTTCTGTTTTGAGGTGTGCACGCGTGGGACTATCCATGCCAAAACGGATGTAGGAGGAGGGGGAGTGGGAAGTAGAACGTGCACGAGGGATTCTCGGGTTGGGGATGTCAGGGGTGTGCTGGCCGAAGCAAAACATACCCTGCGCGTGTACTTCTTTTGTTATAGATTTGCTTTTTCCCTTTCACATGTGACCGATTGCCGCTTGGGGATCATCTAGTGACGCGGACAGTGGTCAAATGCCAGGAGAAGTGTGTTTCTGTGTGAAGCATCTCTGTGTGTGACTCAGCACGAGAGCTAGATAATTTGTAATCATACTCATGACGTTCCTGATGCCTTGAGACCGATCAGTTGGTTTATGTGTGAGAGGTATGTGCGTGACAGACTGTAAGATGACCGTAAGAGCTAAGATGGATTTCAATCGTACTCAGTGTTTAAGGCACTCGGACACACAACAAGAGAGCGTGGGAGGGAGAGGGGGAGAGAGAGAGAGAGAGAGAGAGAGAGAGAGAGAGAGAGGTTGATGACTGCCTGTGTGAAGTACTGGAGGCGTACTTTGCCTTGCAGCTGCAGTATAAGCCCCGGTCTGTAAACCAGGACATGAGAACCCCTTCCCTTACGAGTTTGGGAAGAAAAGAAAAAAAGAGGCCTACAAATTTGTGACGGCCTTGCCGTGTGACCCCCGCTCAAGACGCTGTAGGCCACGACTATGTCTCTTACAGACTGGAAGCGTGTGTGTGACCGGATGGCCCCCGAAAATCACAAAGTCGTGTCATCAAAGCTCGCAAATTTGTGCGAATTGTTTCTGGCGCACCTTGTGAAATCAACAATACGACCTGTTCAAGTTTTTTTTTCAATGCTTTGACATTCAGCGAACTTTAGATCCATGGACTCAACCACCACTCCGCACCAAGATTTGCCAAACAGCCAGCGGTGCGCCGTCAGCCATTGTGGTCGTGTTGCTCCGACCCCCTGCACCCATTGTGGTCGTGTTGCTCCGACCCTCCGCACCCATTGTGGTCGTGTTGCTCCGACCCTCCGGGATATTGGGAGTATGTGATGAAGAAATCTCGCAAGGCTGGGGCTGTGTACTGACTGTTTAAGATACAGATCCACTTGCTGGCACAACAAATTCTGAAAAATGTTGGGCACCATCAATATCATGGAATCGTTCGACCGCCTATTCCAATTCCAATTACGATGCCGCCAGAATAATACAAACATATGCCAGGTCTTTCATTCGAATAGAACACACCGAGGTTTAAATTTGAAGGGTCCTACTTGGGGGCAAAAGAAAAAAAGAATAAAGACACACAAATTTTGAAAAGAAACATCGTGTTCTTTTGCGAATAAAAACTTCAAAATATAACGCCGTACAGGTTATGTTCAGGGAAAGAGGATAATCTTTCTCCTAACTCAGAATGAACTTGGCTGGCTGGGACGCCATGTGCACACAAACCTACTTTCTTCACCCGAATAGAACACCCAGTCATTATAGCTGTATTTGGCACAACTTTCGCCCCAGATGCAGCGATAGTGATCGGGCGTTCTATTCAGGTGCCTGGCCTTCCGACTCTATGAGAATGGGTTTCAATTTCTATTTCATTTGTTAAACAGCCAGTATGGCCCAAAGTCGCGGCCGTTAACGCGCCGGCAGCGGGCTGACCGAACGGTGCACATGGAGAGCACCCTAATTCGTCCGACTAAAAACACTTCCACTTGAATTTTCCCACGCAGTCTGGCGGTTTAAACCGCCAGTTCGCCTGAAGCAGAGAACGGTTCTTACCTGGGTCGGCACGGGCACCGAAAGCTGCAGGTCACCTCAAAAAGGACCAGTTTGCAAGCTCAAGGTCCTTGGATGGTAACTTCTATAACTTAGGCTCGTGTGGACAGGTGGTTTAAACCACCACTAGCCCTGATCCTCTTTTGCCGAGGTGGAAAAGAACTGCATGCCAAGCTTTGCTGAAGCGCCAGCGTGACCTTTTTTTTTTTTTGGGGGGGGGGGGGGGGGGGTGTCTGGTGCCGCCAGCCCTTTTGGTCCGGTGACACTCAGCCTCTGAAGAATACGGTATAGGTTAATACCGCATTCTTTTTTTTTTCCCTTTCTTTTTTATCATTTTCTTTTAATCCATACCGTATGCTTAGGAGGTTTCAAGTTTGCCTGCGAAAGGTAGTGGTGGTTGAACTTCGTTTCCCGCGAATCTCACGCGACAAAAGAAAATTTCTTGAAAATAAAAAAAATGAAGGAGTGTGTTTTACGCAAAGATGCATAACCCAGTTTCAAGCGCCATTTTCTGCACCCCCAAGCGAACACGTGCAGATTCAGGCCAATCGTCTTCTTACTAGCGCCTAGGCCCAGCTCTGTCCATAATGATCTCACCATGTTTCACAAATTTGCCGTAATAAAAAAAAAAACGTTTGAGATATATTCAATGTATTTGGTCCTGATTCCACACAACTCAAATTCTGGTGGAATTCGATTACTTGATTATTCTAATACAAGTTGACCACACAACCGAATTGTTTCTATTTTTTTTACGCGGTTCAGGGGGGGGGGGGGGGGGGGGGGGGGTAGGGGAGGGGAGGGTCTGCCCCCCTTTATAGTTTCAGGTTGAGAACCACCAGTACCTCGCCCTGCTAGCAAGTCTGAGCCTCAAACGACCGGTATCCCGATCGTTGCCGAGCCTGACGCTACCAGGCGTTGCACAGGCTTTTTCATTTACAATGGGGGGAAAAAAAATTGAGAGAAAAGAAAAACAACAACTAGATTCTCCACAACAACAACAACAACAACAACAACAACAGCAACTAGATTGTTCATTCAAAAAAAAGACAAAGAAACAGAGGAATTACTACTTTACAAAGAAAAGGAAAGGAAAACATTGTATGAAAAAAAAAATGTCGTTTTCATCACAGATGGATGGAGAGAGAGAGAGAGAGAGAGAGAGAGAGAGAGAGAGAGAGAGAGAGAGAGAGAGAAATTGGGTTTACGAGGTCAAATCTTCATGCGTTGTCACAAAAGATTCATTCGCATTTTGCACATCTGGAACAACACGAGGGGAGGGGCAGAGGGATAGTGACAGAGCCAGCGACTTTACTGTGCAAAGTTCGCCGGCACTCTGTGTGTGTGTGTCCCCACGTGGTTCCAGATATACAAAATGACAATGAATCTTTCATGAGAACACGGGAAGATTCATTGTGATTTTGTACATCTGGAACCACGTGCCGGGAGGGAGGGAGAGAGAGAGAGAGAGCAAGAGAGAGAGAGAGAGAGAGAGAGAGAGAGAGAGCTTGGGCTTACGAGGCCGAATCTTCCTGCCTGGTCATGGAGATCCATTCTCCTTCAGCACA